TTATATTCTAAAATTCTTAATCAATAAGAAACTTTCTGATAAAAACAGAGTAATCTGATATTAAGCATCATACTCAGTACAAAGTTCCACACTCATTGATATTTTGATAGCTAAAGCCTTTTTCTTATTCAAGTCACTCTTACCTAAGATACTCATCTCACTTAGTTTACACAAGTGTTGCTTTAGCAAGCTGAAGTCCTTTCTCGCGCCCGTAAAATTTCTCCACGATCGCGAGTGCAAACTCCAGTGAGGTTCCTGGACCCCTGCTCGTTATGAGATTGCCATCTACTAAGACTCTATGATCAATGTGACTTTGGTCCGACAATTTGCTGCACATTGCGGGAAACGCTGTCGCCTTCTTACCCTGTAAAAAAGATCCATAAATTGTGACTCTTCCCTAGTTTTGAAAATAACAGGTTGATTTCTAAAAATTTCACGGTATATCGCTTTGTTTGTACCTTGAGTAAGCCATTTGGCTCTAAGACCAGAGCAGGAGATGCACAAATTGCTCCATATGGTTTGTTTGATTCCGCTTGCTTCTTTAACATATTCACTAGCTTCTCCGAACTTGCAAATGCTTCAGCACCACCGAGACCACCCTGTGAATTAAAAGAAGTTTCATTTAGTTGTTAATTAATTCAACTTGCTTGACACTAAATTCGTTCGTTTTTGTAATAAATTAGCACTCACAGGCAACACAATCAGATCGTATGAACTCTTTTCAGCCTCATCGAAAAGCACATCCGCCACTAGCTTGACTTTTCGAGATGCTACTACTTCCAAACTGGTACCAAGCGCAGCAACCACGACATTTGCTTTTGCCCGCCTCAGGACATCAATGATAGCAACAGCTTCCATTTCCTCCGATCCATCTGCAATAGGTACAAGAATCTGAAAAGGGAAAGCATAACTCTTAGTGTGTGGAAAAATGTTGACTAAAACAGTATGAGTTCAGAAAGATAAAGTGTGAGCAGGTTCGTCCGTCAACTTATTTTTGTTACGATATTCATCATATAACCACCTGAAATAGCTTCATCTACCAAATTATCTCTCACAACGCGAATCGAATAAACAATCAAATAGAATTAAGGGTTTGAACCGAGAGGATAGGCAATTGAAAACTACCTTTGGAGTATTGTCAAACGGCCAGTTCATTTGGTTAAGCTCGGTAATAGTGTACTCATCACCAGGATTGGGACGCATCACCTGATCTCAAAAGGGAAGAAGTGGGTCTAAGAGGATACCATGGAAGAAAAAAGGTTATACCACTTATATCAATTACGTCTCTACCATTAGTAGGATATCATTACAAGATCATCAAATTAGAAAACAACTACTTAATCTAATCCTTTTTGGCCGAAGACTATCTTCTATAAGAGCCAGGGACAAGACATACCAAGGGACCAGATACTTCAACAGCTTTATCTTTCCCAAACAGTTGCTCGACAAGCGTGACAGAGAATTCCATTGTAGTTCCAGGCCCTCTACTAGTCACTATCTTCCCATCTACTTCCACTCTCGACTCAACCGCTTTCGCACAGGCTGCTAGTTTCTCCATAAAAGCCGGATAACAGGTTGCCTATAAGGAACAAAATATGATTCATACACCAAACACAAACTCGAAAGAAAGAAAATTTATCGGATACTGATCACTTCAAACATACTTGTTTACCGTCTAGTAGACCCCAAGTACCAAGCGCTAACGCCGGTGCACAACATATAGCAGCGTTAAGCCGTCCATCTTCGTCTTGTTTCTTCACCATATTCTCTAAACTTTTACAGTTCTTAAGAGTCTCTCCTCCAGGAAGTCCTCCCTTGAAACCAAACACATATATCTCTCAAATTAACAAGATCATCAAAATCATAGATTAATACATCTACTCATATGCTTATATACACTATAAAATTCAACATTCGCTCTCGATTTAACAAATACATCAAAATTCAACGTCTAGAAGCTACGATATTCAAATCAAATCCAGAATCAGAGAGACGTACAGGGAGCATAATAAGGTCGAAAACGGAGTTGGTAACATCGGAGAGAAGAGTATCGGCGACTATCTTGATTCCATGGCAAGCATCAACTCCGACCTGATTCTCGACGGAAGCCACCGTAACATCCGTACCGCCTCGCCGGAGAACATCGATCATCACCACCGCTTCAAACGGCTCAGTACCATGAGCAACCGGAATCAAAACCTTAAAAAAAAAAACTCTAATTAGAGAATTTCACAGGATCGATTTAGGTATGTAGAAGGCGAAAAACGATCATCTTACCTTCTTAGTAGATGAAGCCATAGTTGCAGAAACAGAGAATAATCTTCGATTCAAGAGAAGAGAAGATCGTCTCGAAGAAGAGCAATGGAGTTTCGTGTTGAAAATTGGAGTGACACTAATTGGATTAGAATAGAGATGACACAACGACGACGACAAAGCCATTGAAGATTTTTTTTTTTTTTTTAAGCATTTTGATGAAAGAGGAAATTTACCAAAACGAGAACTAATTCTGACGTGTCTAAATGTTATTGGCTACGATATATACACGTCATCAGAACGACAATAAAATGAAAAAAATGTTTTTTTTTTCGATAAACCGTGGGAGTTCCGAAATTTTGGCTCATTATCTTCTCGGTATCCAGAGACCGTATTTGGAAATTTCGATGTAAAAAATAACTACGTTCCAAAATGAATTTGAACCCGGGCACAAGAGAACCAAAACATGTGTTTTTGACAGTAAATCAAAGCATATGTGGTTAAGGCGAATATAATGCCCCGGTTCAAACTTAATCGTTGTTCTTTGGCCGTCAACAAAAACTATTAGATCATTCGCAAAACATAAATAAATGGTGTTCCGGCCCGTCCAGCGAGACCACTAAATGTAGCAAACAACCATGATCCACAACTAAAGGTCAAAGCCCTGATTAGAAGTGATTCGAGATCATGGGATATAACTCTAATCAGAGACCTAATCCATCCTGAGGATATTTCTCTTATTTTAGGGATGAGGCCTAGTCATAATTCCATACTTGATGGGTATGCGTGGAGTTATACGACCACGGGGGTCTACACTGTTAAATCAGGATACACACTTGCTAGCAACATTAGACGCTCTCAAGAACCGTCTGTTGTATCT